TTGATACTGCCTTCCTGCGACGCACTGACGAGGATACGCATGTTGATAGCGATGAGCCCTTCGAGGTAATATGCCTACGACTGGCAGGGCTACTCGTTCTGCTAAAAAATAAGTGATCTGATCAAATGGCCACAAAGAAAGATAAAATGTGATGTAAAGAAACAACTGAACAATTCAAAGAGAAACTGACTTGTCAAATAGATGAACTCACCGGCTCTCTGCAAACGAAGGCATGATTTTTGGGGTTGATATCAAAGGAGGATTGTGATGCGATAAGGTATTTGATGTCGTCTCCAAGGAGTGTTCAGTGCATTTCACAGATAATAAACTATCATTTTGATTGCTATTTATCAACATTCGAGCACTTTCCATCTTTAACCCACAACCGTTACATTCGATCGTTAGTTTCGTATATTTACTCCGTTCTAGCCTTCAATTATTACATTTCATTGACTATGAAATCAACTCATGATCACACCTCTCGAATGTTTCGTATTCAGATCACTTTGAATTGATCTATCAATTGAGAGTGTCGGCGGAAAAGAACGCACGTTTTCAAAGAGATCAGGGACAATCACTCTAGTTTGAGAGATTTTCAGACGTTTTGCATCTGCCTAAACCTAAGTGAAAACCTAAGGCTATTGCAATCCTGATTCTACAACTGCGAGGAGCCTAGGCCGACTGCAAGCCTAGGCCAAGCTTATGCACAAGCATCAGTCTAATCCTAAGCCAAAACCTGAGTCGGCCGTGTAATACTAAGCCATCATTAAGTGCGACTACAAAATATATCCATCGCGTTGGCATCCGTAGTCACATATCCTTAAGAATTGTGCAAGCAGCAGTCATGACGCAATGGAAAACTGCTGCTTCGATATAACACAATAGATATACCGTTTCAATGCAGAGTCAAGTTGTTTCCTTTTGGTGTTGTCGTCGTCGTCGTCGGAATATTTACGTAATCGTTTCATTAGTCGTTTCGACGGAGGTTTTGTTTTCGAGAGATTTATTTTGAACGAATTCGGTAGTGTTAAATTCAGCGAACATCTTTCACAATGCGGCGTTGTCTTATCGATGTGCTGCTTGACACTTGAAGCCTTAACTTACTTCATCATCATAATAACAATAATTTCTTCTTTGCGTTCTCCCCACCACAAGTTCATTTCAAGATGTTCGCTTAATTGTACTCCGCCGCATATTTGTTTCAACAAAAACTGGACAGCTAAGCTTCCAGACCCAAACTCTTTCCGAGCCTTCGGATTTGCATTTAGGAGTGCTGCACGTTCACCGCACTGAGCGACTGATGTTGAGGTGAGGCCAAATAATGATAACAACAATAGCGAACAATAATAACAATACCATTATCAGGTAATAGTAATGACATCAATAAACAAGAGTGAATAACAAGCGATATACCGCCACCACCTTGAGTAAATCAAAAGCTTTCTTCGAATGCATCGCAGCCATCGGCATTGGTATATGATTGTTAGCACAAGCATCCGAAAGATTCCGTAAAAATCCAGCGTGTAACTTTGCCAATTGAACATTAGCAAAATTGATTTCTGACTTCGTTAGCGTTGCCCCATTCTTAGTATTACCATGTGCTGTGACCGAATCGTTAGCCATACCTTAATTTTCTTATCACTATGTTTTCCAACTGCTCAGCAAATAAAACGAATAAACAAATATTCAGTCAGCCAGTCAGTGGTCGCTTGCGGCTAACTGTAATCTTATTAAGAAAGCAGCCAACTTCAACAACAATCGTTTATTATCTTTCAACTGATCCCTTACTCATTCCATAAAGCGATGTCAACACGGATCGTAAGAGAGCGTTAAGCAAACAATACCGATATCAACAATTAATCAACTGAAAATACCCATCGAACAACAACA